TTAATATTTTCACCTAGAAAATCGAGCCCCAGGGAGCACCAATGCAGAATGTGTAGCCTTAGTGAGCAACACAACTAAATGTGAAAGCACCATAGTGAGTGTGATATCAAACACAACCACTGAAAAAACTAAGAAGGTGAGGAAGTTAGAAATATAAATTCACCAATTCTTAAAAGATAACCACTTTACTGTCAAGTCAAATAAATACTCAGCCACAGATTACTCTTCAGTTCTAGTAAGCTCAGACACCATTTCTCTACCTTATGCATCTATCTGAAAGCCATGAGAACACTCAGAGGGCAGCAATTTGAGTAACTGAAAATGTGGATCACAAAATATTCAGGAGGGGAACTACTGCATTTCAAGAACATCAAAAGCACTGAATTTCATGTTTTTTCATTCTGTGTCTCTGGACTCAAGAAGAGTCAGCAAACTAGTACACCCACTGATATTTCTTCCTAGGAAAAGCTAAGATTAGGCATTGAAAATCAGATGGGCAGGGCATGTAATATGACGTTAAGACGACTGCTGGACTACAGCCATTACTGACTGGATTCCTCAGGATGTCAGAAGAACACATGGCCGTCCACCTACGAGATGGTCAGACTTCTTAGTCAAGACCCTGAATGATCAGTTTGAGGCTCTTCATGTTCCTGAAGCAAGCAGACGCCACTGAACTACATGAGCACGAGACAGGGACAAATGGAGACGTTACTGGTGCCTGCTCGAGCAAATCGATGAGTAACGGGATGGCAAGTGATCAAGGCAGTGACTGGTATTTCATACAATTCAGGGTAAACCACACAATGATCTTCCCAGACCATGGTCTTCACTTCCCTCTGGTGAATACATATTGCATTATGATAAGGAAAGAAAGCACATTGATCTGGAATATATCTCCTCTAGTTCCTATTTTTCTCCCCTATGTTTTAACCCACTTCATTTCTTTCTAGTACCCCCCCAACCTCTGCCTTGTCCTCAAATTTCAGGAATACAAATAAAAAAGAGCAGAAAACCCAATGATTTCCACAAAGTATCCACTCTAAATGTGTTCAAAAGAAATATTTTTAAAATGCTTAAAAAGCATTTCATAAAATATTAATAAAAGAAGTTACTGTGATATAATGCCAAAATGTAATCTTCCAAGTGGTAAATCTACCAGCAAAGTAGAATGCAGATAAATCAACTCTAAGTTTCAAATCATCAGGAAACTTATACTCCTAAAATGTATACCCACTGAACAGGATGGCCACAAGAGTTAAGGCAACACTAATAGAAGAGAAATATTAGATAAAGGAGTCCAAGTTGGGATCTTTGCAGAGGGTCTAATGATGTAAAGCTGTATGCTCCTACTAGTTATGTGAAACCATTCAGGTGCCTCCAAGTAGAAGGAGCAGAAACAAGGGGAAATTCCCACAAAACAAGTCTTTCTCATTAAAGACATGTCAGTTGCGGGTCCCTGAGAAGGATGAGGACATTCCTTCTCTGATCTAAAGGATCAGGAGAGGAGAGACTGTAATCAACTGTGAAAGCATCCAACATTTCCTTTCATGATCTACTGTCAGTCAGCAGTTCCTACAGTCAAGGGATAAGATGGCTGCAAATGTAATGGGGAGCAAATTGAGAGGATTGAGCCCTATGACTTGCTTTTTTCTCTGTTGTTATCATTCATATACATTTATTAGAACACAGATGATTTTCAGTATTTTGAGCTTCCTTCAACCCAGTCAAGCAGGAAATGTTTAAGTGAATGATACATAAATCTCTCTATATAAATGATATATTAATATAAAACACCTCTCCACCCTTTATAGTTAAGTTCAACGTAAAATTATAGACCCTCTTTATTCCTTTCAAAAGCTTGGAAATCTGCTTTCAATTTCTCAGATTTTGTCTTTTGCCTTTTCTTTAATTTTCACATTCTCTCATACCTGCAGTCTAAATCAGAGTTAGGGTCTGTAGACCAGTTCACTAGTTAAGTTAAAGTAAGGTTTCAAGTTCGATGCCTGGTGCCACCACATGTCCTGAACAGGATTCTTGAAACTCTGCTGTTTCAAAATTCCAGCACCATAAAGGATGTTCTGGAATACAACATTCAGGTGGGTATGAACACCAAAACGAATAGTTGCAACCCATGATGAGCAGTACTAAGAGACATGTGAACCCCTGCACCTGGAAAATGCTGCCCCAGGGATCACAGTGATGAGTGTGTGAGCACTTAAATCTGATGCGTGGCCCAGAAGATAACACGAATAAATGTGAAAGCACCATTGTCAGTGTGTCTACAACCCTCAGCCCTCACATACCCACTACTACTAAAATAACAAAGAAGGAAAGGGGAACTATAAGTTCAAAAACATTGTTTTTAAAAAAACCACTTAAATCTCAAGTTAAATAACACATTCAGCTTCAGATACCACTTCATCTGTAGGGAGCTCACATCAACATTTCTCCATCCTATGAAACGGAGAGCCCTGAGAATGCATAGAGAGAGGACAGTGATTTGAATAACTCAATATGTGGATCAGAAAATGTGGATCAGGAGGGAAACTTCTGCATTTAAAGCAACATCAAAAGTCGTGAACTTCCTGTTTCCCATTTTTTATCTTTGGATTCAAGAATAGCCATCAAATTAACACACCCACCCATTTTTCTTCTAGGAAGAGTGAAGGATAGGCAGCTAGCCGTTTTACACCACACTTTTCAGAACAAACCACAGCAATTAATTTTTCCTACTCAACTCTTTACCTCCACCAGGCGGCCACATTCTGCATTACAAAGACTGATAAAAAAGCACATTCATTTGGGGAACATAAAGTAACAAAATAGGAGACTAACACCCAAGAATGGCCAAGATTAGTACCAGGAATTTTACTCCATGGCTTGGAGGCCAACCACACATGCTAGGGGAAAAGGGAGCTCAGACAAAGAAGGGAACACCAAATAAAGGTGTTGGGAGGATCCTCCCAGGATGGGAGAAGCGTGCGGAAAGTAGAGTATAGACTAAACATGATTGTCACCCATTGCCTCTTTTGCAAACCACAACACCCAATAAGAGAGAGAGAGAACAAAAGGAAATGCCCTGCCACAGAGGAAGGGTTGGATTGGGGTATGGGGGTGTGAGGGATACTGGGATCCGTAGTGGTGGGAAATGGGCACTGGTGGAGGGATGGGTGTTTGATCATTGTATAATTGAAACCCAAGCACAAAAATGTGTAAGTCTGCAACTGTAACTCATGATGTCTCACTATTAAAAAAATTTTAATAAAAAAATAAATAAAGATAAAAAAATAAAAAAGCACAATTGGAAAAAGCTCAATTAAGCTGAAGATCCTCTCCTCCAATCCCTCTCTTTTCCTCTGTGTTGTGTGGGATAACCTTGGTTTCTCCTTTTCGCCTTGCCACAGGGAGCTTAGGTTTACTTGGTTACTCCCATCACTGTGCTGCCATTCCTCTGTGTATATTTGTATCCTCTTTCGTTGTGCACCGTTAACTTGTGAATTTTGCTTTTCTCTTCTCCTTAAGTCCTTTGCATAGATCATTCAGAGCAATGTCCTTTTTTGTATAGACACAGGAAGATAATGTTTTTTGTAACTTGGGAGTTAATTGACTCTAGATAATATTACCTCCTGGAGATCTGTTCTCACGACTTAAGCCTCAGTTGCCCTTACTTCCTAGATCCCCCAAAGCAGGATCCCTATGAGGGACTGGATGGACCCAAGTCAAGCTGTGAACTGTGAGCTACCCTGGCATTGAAATGGACCTGGCCAAAGTGCCATAATACTTAACTATAAGTTAAGAGCATGGACCTGGACAAATTTTGTCATGATTCAAAATGTAATAACTAGATTAGGACCCTGCTAGGTCTAGAATGCTTACTCCGGTCTGAGCACTGTATTCTGAGCCTATGGCGAGATGTTCCCAGGAGAGTCACCCTAGAAGCTCAATGTATCTCTTACTGTGTCCATACAAAAAAACTAATATTAAGAAGTAGAATTAAGATGTTAATTAAGATATCAATTAAGTTATTGGACTAAGGAGAGGAGAAACATCCCTAGGTGGGATTTCTTCCCTTGGGCCTGATGGGCAGTCAGGAAGGGCTTTTGATATGTTGATTTTATTGCAGGATGGGGTAGCCATAGCTACCCCCAAGGTTGGGTGTTGGAGAGAGACCAGAGAGAGACCAGGGCAGCAAGATGAAGCAGAAAGACTAGCAAAGGGGATCGATGGAGAAGAATGTAGGGGAAGAATGCAGGAGAAGGCGCTTGGAGAGACAAGAGACCAGAGTGTAAGAGGGAGTGCTGAGAGATGAGTGGGGGAGACAGGAGGAGACGGGAATGAGCGGCAGTGTGAGACGAGAACAGAGAGCTCAGAGAGATTGGAACAGTCACGTGGGGAGAATGGAATGAATGGCAACTGATCATCAACCAGTCTGGCCCTCATCTCCTCCTTCATCCACCCATGGCATGGGACACCCCGGGTAGGGGAGCGGCACCTCACGAGGGTGGCGAGAGGGAGAATTACTGGGTGCTTCCCTAGCTGCTCGGAGATTACACAGTTGTGAAATATCGAGACTTGGAGGGAAATGGAAGAATTGAAAACCACCTTGATTCTTTCTAGTCCTTTACAGTCTCATTCCCTGGTCCTCAGAATTAATAAAAGTGTACATTAAAAGAAAAGAAAAACAGAGGATTCCTACAAAGTCCCCATTTTATGGTCTTCTTTTTTTACTTTTATTTTGTTTATTTTTAAAAGTTTTATTACAGCAAATGCCCGTCTTAAATATACGCATACAGTGACAACCTCTTCATGTTGACTCATCCACCAGTCTTACTCTTCAGATTCACAACCTAAACCTCGGAGGAGATGCAAGTCAAGCAACTGAAATTCACAGACACACTGGAATCCCATGGTTAAAACATGGGTCATCCTGAGAATGGGGGTAGTCCATGTTCCCACTACTGAAGCTTCTGACATCACACCGCTTGACACTGCTGCAGCTATGCCGACTGCTTATAACCTAACTTCATGGCTTCACTAAGGTTCCTGCAGGATCCTCCCAGTTCTAAGGTTCCTGATGTATCTGGACCTCCAAATTCCACAGCACTTAATCAGGTTCACATTTCAATTTGTTTCAGTTTACTTCTGGATAGTCCTATTTAAAAGATTTCAAGTGTCTATTTGCTTCTGTGTTCTGAATGAAAACGCCAGAAATTGTTGCTTAATTTTATTCATTGATTAATTATCAGTCAGATATGATAATATGATAATATGATAATATGATAATATAATAATATCTGACTGATAATTAATCAATGAATAAAATTAAGCAACAATTTCTGGCGTTTTCATTCAGAACACAGCAAAAGAAAAATCATTTATAGTCATAAAAGAATTATTTATCTGTAACAATTTATGTAGGTTTCAGGAAGAATGAACCTAGAATAAAATTGAGATCAATAAGAAAAATTAAACAACTAATATGCTATATGAATCCCTGACAGGCATACGTAAACTCCAAGCAATGCAAATGTGTTGACATGAACTGTAAATTTTTTTTTTATGTAGAGAGTTGAGGAGCAGAAATATTGGATAGAACTGCTGGTATATAGGAAGTTCTTTAAGAGGAAAAATATGTTATGGAATAAAAATGTTAATGGATGTATCAAGGTGAGACTATAAGAAAACAGGTCTTAAAGGACTGTAATTATGGGATGCCAATTCTATCCAAAAACTCTCCACCTTTATAGGTGGATATATAGATTAGCTCAAACAGTTTATGACTTTATTTTTGTGCATGCCTGCATACCATACAAATTCAGAGATAATTAGAAACAAATAAAAAGAGCAGAAAATAGAGTAAATATGAAAGAATTTTGAGAATGTTATAACTTAAAAGTACCAAAAGCTTGTAATCATTTAATTTAAAATTAAATATAAAAACTAATGAAAATCTTAGTTCAGAAGGGAAGGAGAACAAGATGACTCAGAGCAGGTTTTTGTCTCACTTCCCTATGAGCGTGAACCACTGTGCCAGTACCACCACGCCTGCCAGAGCAACAGTAGTAATCAGCCTCGTCCTCAGGCTTGAGCCCAGAGATGGTCAGGGTTGCTGTGTTGCCAGACTTGGAGCCAGAGAAGCGATCAGGAATCCCTGATGGCCGCTTATTGACCTCATAAATCAGCATTTTGGGGACCTTGCCCTCCTGTTGCTGGTACCAGGAGACAAGATTATATCCCCCAATGTCATTGCTGGTTCCTGTACAGGAGATGGTGACTGTCTGTCCCTGAGTCCCAGACACTGAGAGAGGCTGATTGAGAACATTCTGGGCCCAGGTTCCTGAAGAAAGAAAAACAAAACACTGGTGAATTCAGGCTGGTTTTGGATGAACCTGAGGAGTGGAGACAAAGGGTGAATCCAGATGTGCCCAGGTCCCTTTAGAAAACTTCACCTGGGCCCTGACTGAGGAGGCTGAGGAGGAGAAGAGCCCAGGTCATGATGGAGATGCCCAGAGTGCTGCCTGCTGACACCCCAACTCTGAGCCTGGCTCTCTCCCAGCTCTTATTCCTCCCCTGCCCCAGAGAAGGGAGGGGCCTGTATGTAAAGCTGCTTCCTGCATCTGCCTCTGTTCACCCCTCTCTGGCCTGGTCTTGAACTCCAGATGATTCTGCATTACTTTAAAAAATCATTCTTATTGCTTTTTTTTAATGTATTTTTTTTATCTTATTTTGGCATTCAAGGGGACATGGATGCCACTCCCAGTGATACTCTGCTAATGGGTCTGCTAGTTCAATGCCTAAACTTAGTGTGCTGTGGACCAAATGTACTGCATGGTGCTGTGGATCACCAGGGCCATGGTGCTCTGTGAGTCCAACACCAAACCCAGGAGAGGGATCTGGTGCCAGAGATTGAACCAGCAATAGACTACCTCTGGCACTTCTGTATTTCTGCATAGCACAACTATCAAGAAAACTAATTCTCCTTGATATAAAATTTACTCATACAAACATTTTGATTCCTGCTTTGAAGAGGAAAATAAATGTGATGACATCGCATGCATTTATGACCTACCTATTCTGGGTCTTTGCTTGTAACGTGACTGACTCAATGATCACTCGGTACAGTACTACTCCAGGAAATGCCCTCTTGTGGCTGCCCATGTTTCAGTGTCTCTCTAACATTGGCAAAGTTAACCTGCCCTTTTGTGTAAACATCTGCTCTTGATGGTTGGTTGCTGGTGGTGAGACTCTCGGGTAAGATCTTGTCACTACCCCAACCACACTTGTTTGTGCTGGGGCATTTGTTGTCCTGGTCTCAGAAGCAGATTGTGACTCTCAGTTCAACCCCGACACACACACCCCAGGGAGGGAGCCCTTTCAACAAACAAGGGCTCCTGTCAGCAACAATAGGTTTTTGTGTCTGTTTTTCTTCAGATCTTCTTTATGTTATCCATCTTGCAACTTTATTTTATCCTGCTTTGATATTTAGGGAGAGTTAAGAATAAATTGTGTATCCCATAGTAGGTGTTACATGGAGGTAGTACTATGAGAGACATAGAAAATCAGGTTTGATTTTCTGCATTCCTATCTGTACAGTGCGGTATTTATGAACAGTTTCATTATTCAAGGACCTTAGTTCCAGTTTGTCTTTAATTTGTGACAGACCACAGGCAATTTTTTAACCCTTCTAAGGTGGTTTTCTTCTAGATCACTACATTCATAGGTAGGTGATCAAGTTTCTTTATGTAAATACTATATGCATCTAAGTCCTCTTTCTGTAACTATGGATACTAAAGATATAAAACCAACATAATACTACATCCTTCTCTTTATTTCACCTAAAAATAATGTTAGATTCTCATCTTTTTCTGCAACTTATGATTAAATCTTGGGTTCCTTCTTTTTGAATGAACTACAACTCTTATTTTGTCAACCCTACCAGGATGCCAAAATGTCTGCTCCAACTTTAAGTCTCTTAGTCACTGAGTTTGCTCATTTATATAGGATTTGCCTGCGCCACTGTCAGTTATAGTGAGTGCCATAGTAAAGGCTACATGATAGGAAGTTTCTCTGCCCCTTAAGGAGCTTTTTAAACACTTCCTACAAAACGTGTTTCAAGGCTACGTATTCCCTAAGTTGTTGCCTGTCCATGAAGTTCTGTATAATTCTTTCAAATCTGAATGATATCTAGCTAGACACAGTATTCTTGATAAGGTATTTATTTCAATGAGTTTTTGCACTAAATTCGTCAATGTTCATTTAGCTCATAAGGCCTCATTGATGATCTGGTATACATTTATTTAATGGACTTTACTTTCAATAAAAGTTTTTTTTTATCTTCCTACATTCAGTATTCTTTCTCTATATTTAGATTTTGTCTTTCAGTACAATATGTCTTGTAGCTTTACTAATTGGGTCCATTTACACTTGGAACCCCAGAGGCCTTTTGGATTTCAGCAACTGTAATCATCAACTCTGAGAAATTCTTATCAATTTCTTTAAATAGAGCATCTTTACCACATTTGTCTTCCTGTTCTTTAGGGACATCAATGATTTTGATATAGTTCATTTTGAACTTACAGTTCTATGATATGTTGTTCATTTATTCCCAGGATAATTTCCATCTTCTGCTGTATTCTAGCCGTCTCGGAGAGCCTGGCAAGCTACCAAGAGTATATTCGATATGCCAAACACAGTAACAACAAAGTCTCCAATGGAGACGTTACTGGGCCCGCTCAAGCAAATCGATGATCAACGGGAGGGCCTTTACCTTTACCGCTCGAGCTGTATTCTAGCGGTTTCCTGATTCTAATCTTGGAGTGTCTCAATCTTCTGTTCAGCTTCTGTTATTCTGATGTTCAGAGATTCTATCAATTTTCTTTTTAATATCATCTACCATGTTCTTCATTTCTGTGATTTCTGATTGTAGTCATTTTCTCATTTGGACTCTCATACCTTCTTGTGCTTTGCTGACTAATTGTGCTATTGTGTTTTCAACTCATTGAACACCCTCATCATAATGTCACTAAAGACACTGTCTGAGGATTTACTGGTGTCGTTTATGTCTTTAATGATGCTCCATTTTGTCAGTGAGCTTGATGGGTTCCTATGTGTTTTTCCATTGGTTTTCTAGTGCTCTTTTGGTGAGAATGAGTCTTTGTAGTTACACTGTGCTGCAAAAGCCCTCCCTCACTGGAAGATACTAAAGGATAAAGCTGGCAACTGCTCTCTGTCTTTTCTTTCCACCCTCACAGAATGACAGGAAGAATAACTGTGAGCAGATATAAATTGTTTAGCAGAGCTATTGCGCAATCACACAAGTGGCCAAAAATTCAGGAGCTGTGATGTAGGCCTTTAAAGTGACGGAGGTCCAGTATGGAGGCTGCTGGGGCCTAATGTGAGGAAGAGGCTCTTCCTCTTGTTGGAGCTCTGCCTCGGGTTCCAGAGCAGTTCCAGTGATATCAAAGAGAGATAGGCCTCACCTTGGATTGTGGAGCAGCAAGCAGAAGGTTAGAGGAATCTTTTGGCCTCTTTTATATCAATTTAAAACCACTTACCTCTGATTTTTCAGTAGTAAATTATAAATCTAAGTATTTGAGTTTCCAACCCCTCCCCATTTTCTTGGAGAATGCTCCATATTTATTGGGGAAGAATATTTACTCCAACTTTGGGGTTTCAGAGAGGGTGAAGAACTCTAGAAAAGTCTGCTAGACCCATCCCCTCAATTTCTTCCTTTAAAACCAGAGTTTTCTTTTTGAGTATCTTTCTGGTTGATCTATCAGACAGTGAGAGAGTGGTGTTGAAATCTGCTACTACTATTTTATTGCTGTCAGAATCTTTGTTCAGGTCTATATATGTTGTTCAATATATCTTGATGATTCATAGTTAGGTAAAAGTATGTTTAGGAGTGTAAGTTCTTTTCGATGTACAGATCACTTGATCATTACATGATGACCATCTGTATCCCTTCCTCATAGAATTTCTTTTTTTGAATTCTCTTTTGATATAAGTGTGGTCATTCCAGCTGTTTTTAGTTATTAATTTGATCCTGGGGCCACATCCGGAAATGCTCAGGGATTGGTTCTGGCCAAGAGGTTATAGAAACAGTTGGTGCTGGTACAGACATTTAGGCATCACTGACATAGTTCATTAATCTTTCTGGACTTTTACACTGCATCCTTATTGTCTCTGTCTGCTGTGCACTGGTAGCTGTGAATGCAGTTCTGATTTTGTAGTACAGAGTTCTTAAACTGTAGTGAGAAAAAGACTTTAGTGCTGGCAAATTTAGCAATTCTCAGGGGATCAGGAGGAATAAAATGAGGAGTAGAAATTTCTGTGTAAATTCTCAGATACGAGTTTATGTGCCTGTTCCAGGAATTTCAACAGGATGTAAAATCTCTGGGCTGTTTCATCACCCCTGTCTGCATGTGTTCACCCATGGTTTCTAGCTGCCCATCTATCCAGAGCTCCATGGGCCCACCCAACAAAAGACCCAGCTCTTTATCCTGAAACTTGGTCTGGACACAAAGCCTGTCACTAAGAAAGTCATAATTTTATCTTTTTAATTTATTTTTATGAAGGTATTCACAATAATTTATTACATTCAATATTTCCACATCAATCTCACCACCATTACACTTTCTCACCACCATATTTTGAATTATTCTACCCCACCCCCCAAAGCCTGCCTAAAAAGCATGACACTATTTTGTATTTCTCGATATAAAGAATTTGCCAAAAATTATCCCCAAAGCTTTCCTTACATGAAAGTGTGTATAGATTGTTATACAACTCTGGAGTTATTAAGCCCTATATAGATTCTTAGATGTCATGTTACAACGTTTGCAGACATGAACTCCAGTCATTCTAATATTTTCAAATTGGTGATACTGATAGAATTGAATTTATAATTTGATGGTGACTTAGCTCACACTTAGGATATATCTCAAGATTAGAGAAAAGGTTTTGTAATTTTCAGGCATAGAGAAGAAATTGCAGATGATAATGCATGCAGCAGACTGGACACAATTTACCTGGTAGTATGCTATAACATCCCTATTATTTTTTTTTAAATGACTGTTTTCTAGTCGAAGAGACAAAATAGTGGGTAGAGTTTTTGCCTTGTACATGGCCAACCTGGGTTGGTTCCCTAGCATCCCATATAGTCCCCCAAGCACTGTTAGGGAAAATTCCTGACTGCAGAGCCAAGAATAATTCGTGAGCATCACTGGCTGTGGCTCCAAAACAAAAACAAACAAAAAAAATTTAAAAATGACAGTTTTTTTCATTATAGAACTTGGATATATCTTCCAAGGTTAAGGTTAGATTCAAAGACTCTTCAATTTCTGAACAACCAGAAAAAATACGGTTATAATGGAAACACAATTAAACGGGAATACTCCAATATTGGATATAATATTATACACATATGCATAGATTAGAATTTTTTATGGAAATATTGAACCATCTCTGGAGCTAAAATAAGAAATAAAGAAAAAACTTGATAAAGAAGCAGGAGAAACCAAACACAATGTTATATATGATAGTGATTTCATTAATGTGAAATGTCTGAAATAAGCACATATTATCACCAATAATGTGTATTTTTGTTTATGTGAGTTTAAGCTAAAAGGGACTTGAGAGGTACTGGTAATTAAATAGTAATTTCTCTTAGGGACAGAAAAGAGTTAATGAATTATAGTGCTATTATTAGATGCACAGATGTGAATATAATAAAACTATAGAAGGAATAGAAAATATCTTGAATACAAAATGTGCTTGAGCGGGCACCAGTAACGTCTCACAACAAATTGTGAGACTTGTTGTTACTGTTTTTGGCATAGCGAATACGCCACGGGGAGCTTGCCAGGCTCTGCCATGTGGGTGGGATACTCTCAGTAGCTTGCTGGACTCTCCAAGAGGGACGGAGGAATCGAACCCACGGTAGTTGCGTGCAAGCAAATGCCCTACTTGCTGTGCTCAAAAGGTGGGTGGTAGGTCAAGTAAGTCTGGTTATCTCTGGTTCTCAAAAGCAGGTTAAAAATTCCAACGTTATTTCTTAAACTCGGAAGTCATTATGTTAAGTAAAAGAAGTCACACACACATATTCTCTCTCTCTCTCTCTCTCTCTCTCTTTCTCATATAATGACAAATTATATGAAATGTCCAAAATAAGCAACACCACAGGAAAGATCAGCTGTTGCTCGGTACAGAAGTAATTGTAAGTTACAGGGTAGTCAAAATATAAAACATTAAATATAAAATAAATTCTGAAATGCTGAAAAATATAAAACAAAAAATGAAAATATTCTAAGTAAGTATTTTATGGGCTAGAGCGATAGCACAGCAGGTAAGGTGTTGACTTGCAAGTGGTCGACATGGCCAACATGTGTTCGATTCCTCCACCTCTCTCGGAGACCCTGGCAAGCTACCGAGAGTATCTTGCCTGCACGGCAAAGCCTGGCAAGCTACCTGTGACATTTTCAATATGCCAAAAAACAGTAACAACAAGCCTCACAATTTGTTGTGAGATATTACTGGTGCCCGTTTGAGCAAATCAATGAACAATGGGAGGACAGTGCTACAGCACTACAGTTCTAAGTATTTTATAGGTGACTAAAATAACTTATACAATTGATTGGTGAGAGAATTAGAAATGAACATAGACAATTAGTCTGAAGGACCTTTTCTCCAGCCTTTAAATACCTGGGGTTTTGTTCTGGAACATGAGGAAATTTTATATTATCTGAGTGTAGGAAACAGGTTCACCTGGGGTCTGAGCGATAATACAGAGAACATGGCACCTGCCTCGAACATGGCTGATCCGATTGAAGCCCTTGTACCCTATGGGTCCCTTGGCCCACCATGAGTGATTTGTGATCCCAGAGCCAGGAGTAACTCCTGAGCACCTCGGGCTGTGACCCAAGAAAGCTGGCAAGAAACAAATAAGGTTATCAAAAATTTCCCAGCAGGAGCTAATGAGGCCTAATGGGCCAAATAACGTTTCCAGCTTTTAGTAAACAATACTACTATTTATATTTGATGTTATTGTTCATTTGGGCTAACCCTTCCCCCTCACCAGGTTCAGCGCCCAGGAGCAAGCCCAGGGCCCCTGTTGAAGGCACTGCAGATCTGTAAACTCTCTCCCCAGCTCCACAAATATTTTTAGGGCTAAGATTTGTGACCAGAGCCATAGCTGGGGGGGGGGAGGGGGAAGAAGGGGGGGAGCTTGCCTTGCACACAACCAAGTCGGATTTGATCCATCATGGCACCCCATGTGGACCCCCAAGCACTGATAGAAATAAGCTCTGCATATACCCCCAAAAGAAAACAAACAAACAAACAAAGAACCATTTTTCTGGGGAATGGTTCTCTAATTGCCCCGCAGAACTTTGCCTGCATCTCTATTCAAACTTTCTTGCTTCTCCTATGCCGGAGAGTCTAGTCCCCAACCGGGGGTTCTACCAGGTGCAGGAATGTGAGAGTTTGAGATCTCCTGTGCCCTGGCGCCCATGCTGTCCCCCACTCCCTAGTTTTTTTTTTTAATTAATCCGGAGCAATCGCACCGCTGGTAGGGCATTTGCCTTAAATGCAGTCAACCCCGGTTCAATTCCTCAGAGAGCCTGGCAAGCTATCCAGAGTATCCTGCCCTCACTGCAGAGCCTGACAAGCTCCACGGGTCCTATTCAGTATGGCAAAAACAGTAACAACAAGTCTCACCAAGGAGACGTTACTGGTGCATGCTGGAGCAAATCGATGAACAATGGGAGGACAGTGCTACAGTGCTGTAGTAAATGGTAGCACTGCACTGTCTCCCATTGTTCATTGATTTGCTCGAGCGGGCCAGTAACATCTTCATTTTGAGACTTGTTGTTACTGTGTTTGTCATATTGAATACGTCATGGGTAGCTTGACAGGCTTTGCCATGTGGGCAAGATACTCTCGGTAGCTTGCCAGGCTGTCAGAGAGGGGTGGAAGAATCGAACCTGGCTTGGCTAGACTGGCTTCGGGCAAGGCAAATGGCCCACCGCTGTGCTATTGCTCCAGCTCATAGTAAATGGTAAATATGAAAAAATGTATAAAATATTATAAAATAAAAATTGTTGAATATTTCTTTGTTATTTAAACTTTGCATTAACTAAAATATTTTAAGTGAGTTAAAGGCAACAAAACTTGGATTCAGAAATGTGGCAGTCTGAGGAGGTTGAGAACAGGTTTTTGTCTCACTTCCTAGTGTACAGCAGCTACTGTGGAAAGTGTGAGTACTTGTATATGAGATACAGTAATAATCAGTCTTATCCTCAGGCTTGAGCCCAGAGATGGTCAGGGTCGCTGTGTTGCCAGACTTGGAGCCAGAGAAGCGATCAGGGATCCCTGATGGCCGACGGTTGACATTATTAATCAGAGTTTTGGGAGCTGTGCCCTCCTGCTGCTGGAACCAGGATATATAGTTAGTTGCCCCAATGTCATTGCTGGTCCCAGTACAAGAGATGGTGACTGTCTGTCCCTGAGTCCCAGACACTGTGGGAAGCTGAGTCAGGACATGCTGAGCCCACGTCCCTGAATAAAGAGAAAATAAAACATTGGTGAGTTCAGGCTGGTTCTGAAGGACCTGGGGAGGGAAGACAAAGGGAGAGCACAGATGTGCCCAGGGCGCCTTTCTGGACCTTCACCTGGGCCGTGGTTGAGGAAGCTGAGGAGGAGAAGAGCCCAGGTCATGATGGAGATGCCCAGAGTGCTGCCTGCAGACACCACAACCCTGGGCCTGGCTCTCTCTCAGCTCTTATCCCTCCTCTGCCCCAGAGAAGGGAGGGGCCTACATTCAAAGCCGCTTCCTGCACCTGCTTCTACTCACCCACTCTGGCCTGACCTTGGACTCCAGATGATTCTGCATTACTTTAAAATATTATTATTATTATTTGTTTTTATTTCTCTTTCCTTTTTATCTTATTTTGGCATTCATGAGGCCATGGAAGACACTTCCAGTGATAATCTGATAATAGGGCTGGCAATTCAATGCCCAGTCTGAGTCATGCTGTGGACCAAGTACACTGTATGGTGCTGTGGACCACCAGAGTCACCATGGTGGTGCTCTGGGATCTTAAGGCAAAACCCAGGAGACTAATCTGGTGCCAGAGATTGAACCAGCAATAGACAACCCCTCGCATCTCTATAGTTCTGCATAGCATAAATATCAAACAAATCAATTGTCCTTGATATACATTTTTCTCATACAAACCTTCTGATACATGATTTGAAGAGGAAAATAAATGTGATGACATCGCATGCATCTATGACCTTCCTACTCTTCTGGGTCTTTGCTTGGAAAGTGACTGCCTCAATGACCACCCAGTACAGTGTTACTCCAGGAAACATCCTTTCATGAGTGCCCATGTTTCAGATTCTCTCTAACATTGGCAAAGTTAAGTTATCCTTTTGTGTAAACACCTGCTCTTGATTGTTGGCTGTCGGTGGTGAGTCTCTCGGGTACATGCTTGTCACTAGCACAACCACACTTGTTTTTGCTGAATCAACTGTTGTCCTGAGTCTCAGAGCAGATTATCACTGCCAGATTACCCACCCAGACACACCAGGGAGGGAGCCCTTTCAAAAAAAAAGGGCACCTGCCAGCAACAATAAATTTTTTTTGTTTCTCTTCAGATCTCTTTTGCATTATACAACTTGTAGCTTTATATTTTCCTGCTGTGATATTCAGCCAGAGTCAAAACTGGATTGTGTACCCCACAGTAAGTATTACATGGAGATAGTAATCAGAAAGACAGAGAAATACAGGCTTGATTTTCTGCATTTCTATCTGTAAAGTGCAGTATTTATGAATAGTCATGTTATTCAAGAACCTTATTCCAATTTGTCTTTTGTTTTGTGACTAAGCCACAGGCAATTGTTTTCAATCTTCTGGATGGTTTTCTTCTAGATCACTGTATTCATAGACATGTGATCAAATTTCTAAATGTAAACACTATATGCTTCTAAGTCCTCTTTCTGTAACAATAGATACTAAAGATAAAAAACCAACATAATACTATATCCTTCTCTTTATTTCATCTAAAAGCTTCTAAAAATAGTGTAAGATTCTCATCTTTTTCTGAAACTTATGACTAAAGCTTGGATTCCTTCTTTGTTAGCAGACCAAGAACTACAATTTTTATTTTCTCAACCCTATCAAGATGTCAACATTTCTGCTTAGTCTTTAAGTTCTTAGTTACTGAATTTGTTCCTTTATATAGGATTTGCCTGTTCTAGCTGTCAGTTATAAATGACCTAGATAATAGTTCCACAAAAATGGATGGCTCAATTTAATGCACTTATCTGCTTTCCAGAATCATTCTTAGACTCTCCAAATGATGTCTACTTTGGGAGCTCTTCTCTACCTTCAAGCAGCTTTTTAAGTTTTCGAGCTATTTGTGTGATTGTCATTTAAGTTGAAGCTTGATGAACTATCTACTAAGCTTTCTTTTCCCCACTCCCACCCCCCCAAAAAAAATATATCATAAGGACCATTCAGAGCTTCGAATGCCTGCCTTGCCATTTTAATCCCTGGTACCTCCACAGGTGCTGAGTGTGATCCAGGAAGCTTTGTTATTTCAGATTGGCAGCTCTGCTGTGTGGATTCCCAACTCCGCAAGCAGCTCCCAGTCATAACATAGCCAAGCTATGTTATGTGTGTCAATTCCAAACTTAATGGAGAACAACCCCAATGAACAGTCTAAGATGTGTGATACCAGGCCAGGAAGGGCAGCCTTGATGAGCTGTGTGGGGAAACTCTGCCACCTGATGTGTAGCTCCAGTGAGCACCATAACTGAATGGAAAAGCATCACAGTCAGTGTTTCTATGCCCCCTGGCCCCCATCATTGTCCAACCACCTCTGCCCATCGAATAAGGGAGAGGAGGGGGAAATACACTTGACAGCATTTAAGAAAAAGAAGACTATAAAGTCAAGTTAAAAGCATCAGTGAGGAAGTTAGAACACCATTGCAGCGTTCCCCTACACACACACACACACACATACACACACAAACACCTTGTTTCAGGTATAAACTCTGAGAACATACAAACAACAACTATTTGAATCCCTAAAAATGTGGGTCACAGGAGGGAAACCGGGGAGGCAGGCACATTTGAAATAACAGTGATCTTCCTTTTTTCCTTCTGTGTTGTTGCACTCAAGGAAACACAGCCGATTTGGGTCAGTCAGCCCTTACATCCCTTTAATACAAACTTGGTGAGAAGCAGTTTTTGAGACTTTTGAGTTCATTTCATATAAACCACAGTAATGTTAGTTCTATAATAAAGGCCTTGGCTTCCCCCTGGTGGCATGAAATGGCAGTACCAAAATTCACAGCCGCCTCAGAACTGAGACTTCTATCATTACTATGTTGCCCACATGGCAAAGCCTGGCAAGCTACCCATGACGTATTCGACATGCCAAACACAGTAACAACAAGTCTCACGATGGAGATGTTACTGGGCCTGCTTGTGCAAATCGCTGAACAATGGGAGGACAGTGCTACAGTGCTACTTTTACTTTCTAGCATCCTCCAAACTTCTCCTTGTCTTTCTCCTCTTTATTTTCTCCTACTTCCTTGTCTTCGGGATATTACTTTGGTTTTGTTTTGTTTAGGGATAACACCTGGCGGTGCTCAGGGTGTTTTTTTAGGCCTTTATTTACTTTTTAAAAATTAAAAAAATACGGGTCTGGGGCTGGAGCAATAGCACAGTGGGAGGGCGTTTGACTTGCACATGTCCTACTCAGGTTCGATTCTAGCATCCCATATGGTTCCTTGTAACCTCCAGGAGTAATTCCTGAGTGCATGAACCAGGAGTAACTCCTGTGCATCATCGGGTGTGACCCAAAAAAGCAAAAAAAAATAATAATAAAAAATATATTTTAATTGAATCACAGTGAAATACATAGTTACAACAATGTTCATGATTGGGTTTCACCCAAATAATGTTCCAAGACCTGTCCCTTCAACAGTGTACATTTTCTAACATCCATGTCCCCTTCTTTTTTCTGCTCTGTCCCTTCCTTCTCCTCCTCATCCTCGTCCGCCTTCTTCCTCCTCATTCTTCTCCTCATCTTCCTCCGCTAACCCTTCCTCACATTCTGGTTTTCTGGGGTTATTTCTGGATCTATAATCAAGAATTCTCCTACTGGAGTTAGGTTACTTAATTGGGGCCCTTTTTGTTTCCTGATGAATGCTTGAATTACTGTGAACTTACCTTTCAACACAGTTTTTGTGGTATCTCATATGTTCTTATAATTTATATCTTCATTATTGTTTCCAGATATATTTTCCCCTCTATCCCCTGCCCCCTGAGCTCTTTGTTTTGAAAACATTCTCTTTCTTTTTCCCCCAGGAATTTTATTGAGACACTGTGATTTACAAAGTTGTTCATAATTGAGTTGTTTCAGGAATAAATATTCCAATGCCAATACCACTATTAATGTGCCCTTTACTCTACCAATATACTCAGTTTCCATCCTACCCACTAGGCAAGCATTTAACGAATGTATTTCCAATCAATTTGTCCGATAAAACCAAGAACTGTTGTGGGTAGATGCATCAGGAAAAAAATATAAGTCGATTTATGATGATGAGTTTCTATGTTTTTAACATTTCTTAATCTACTGGACAACCAGATGAACCTTTAGTGAGTGCCATACTAAAGAACACATGATGGGAAGTTTCTCTTGCCCTTTAAGGAGTTTTCTAAACGCTTCTTACAAAACTAGTTTCAAGGCTACTAATTCCGTAAGCTGTTGCCTGTCCATGAAGTACTGTATAGTTCCTTCAAATCTGAATGAAGTTTAGCTGAATAGAGTATGCTTGGTGAGGTGTTTATTTCATTGAGCTTTGGTACTATATTCTTACATATTTGTCTGACTCATAAAGTCTAATTTGATCGATCTGCTGACCATTTAATGGACTTTATTTGAGTGAAAGTTCTTTTTTGATCTTGCTGCTTTCAGTTTTTTTCTCTATATTTGGATTTTGTGATTTGGGGTACGATTATCTTGGATATTTCCTAATTGGATCTATTTTCACTGGGACCCCAGGGGCTTTTTGGATCTCGATGCCTGTAATTCTCAATTCTGAGAAATTCTTATCAATTTCTTTGGTCAATGTTTCTTTATCACATTTGTCTTCCTGTTCTTCAGAGACATCCTTGATTTTTATTTTGTTCCTCTTGAACTTATCCCATTGTTCTCTGGTATGCTGTTCATTTCTTTTCAGGGTATTTTCCATCTTCTGCTGTTTTCTAGTGGTTTCCCCCTTCTCATCCTCGAGCACCTCAATCTTCTGTTCAGCTTCTGTTATTCTGATGTTCATAGCTTCTATCGACTTTCATTTAATATCATCTACTATGTTCTTCATTTCTGTGATTTCTGATTGTACCCATTTTTCTCATTTTGACTCTCATACCTTCTTTTGCTTTGCTGACTACCTGTGCTATCGTTTCTTTGAACTCACTGAACATCCTCATCATATGTCACATAAAGAGTCTGCTTGAGGATGTACTGGTGTTGTTTATGTATGTCTCAAGATATTGTTTTTTGTACATTGAGCTTGATGAGTTTCTACGTGTTTTCCCATTGGTTTTCTAGTGTTCTTATGCTGAGGATGATGTTTTGTAGTTACACCCTCGTGCTACATTCTTGCCCCACCACGCCCCACTGAAAGATACTAAAGGA